GGGTTCCTGTGTTCTGGGGCAGCGCCTGACCAGACATGCAGTCATCCCTCATGTCACATTGTGTCACAGGAAATGCAGCTACTTCAGGAGTTTGTTCTGTTGTTTCGACTTGTGACAGATCTGCTATCATCTGCAAAGCAAGCATACAAATATGTACTTGAATTTAAAGATCAAGAACATTTAGGGTGAAAAAACTTAAAATAAATTACAGAACTACCCATCATAAAAGATGAATGTAGAGACACAAAAATGTTGTTTAATGCATACAAGATCGCAAATGCTTGATTTGGGTCAGAACCTCTCATAATTTTAGGACTCAGCAGATTGCCATGGGGATGTAAGCCCTGATAAATAGCCCGGCATGAATCTCAAAATAACACCTGGAAACTACACTAAAGTAGGAGAGATATTTGAGTGTTTTCTAAAAAACAGAAACGTACACAAACATTAGCGTGAGTGCCTCAAGTGAGTGCAGCTGTACAAAATCACGTTATGAACTGGTGAAGCAGCTGGTTGAAACCGGAGGCAAGCAAGGGTTGTTCGTGGTGCTCAAATGATTATTTTAACCAGAATCACCGTGTCTGTTATTTTGCTGCTCACCATGATTATAGAGAAAATGTATTTGTTACATAAGTGCGGTCAGTTTATCTCTCACTTAGCTGCGCAATTATAGCCTGACACGGCTAAATAAATATAGACATTATTTGTATAAACACATTTCTACCATTGAATGTTTTTGTCATTAACGGTTTTTAGAAATTAAACAACACTTACTCTGGCTACTTCCAGCTTGTGAGTTGCTGACCTGCGTGTAGCTCCTGAGTCTCTTCTGCTGCTGGAAGGAGCCGCCATTGTTGTTGTCGTTCCGGGCGCGGCTGCTCCCGGTCCTTCTCCCTTGTTGCCTTTTCCATGTATCGATGGTACTGCAGTGGATTTCAGTCTGATTTTGTCCATTTTTCGAAACCCCATTCTGTGTTCAATCAAGTCCCCCTCGATGTAATCCTCCTCGCGGAAATGCACAACACAAATCACGGAGTTGTTCGAGACTACTGCTGGTAAAATCCTGCCTTTTTACCCCAACAAATCTCACCCAAGCACGGAAAGCTTGGTTTTTCTGCTTTGGGAATTGGAAAACACGATGCCCAGACACACTGGAGTTTGTAAAACCCCCACATACACAAACATTAACCATATTTGAACTAGTTTACTTGGTTTTACCTCAGCAACTAAAAATGACCGATTTGTTGTTGTCCTCTCGTTTGCCTCTGTGTTTACCTCTAGGCACGTCATGTGTCACGTGACTCTAAAACCGCGCGTTTTTTGGGGGGCGCTTGCTCTCATCCCTTTATTTAGTATTTTTAAACACCTGCTAGTTGTATGGAAACCTGGGATTATAACCAAAGTAACTTTTTTACATTAGATTATGCTTTTTTGCCATTTTAAAGAACATGAAAGATGGCCTATAACTGAATGACAACAAAGCGGTGAAAACCGCAGCAGTGTCCTAGAACAACACAGGTGTCTAACACAACAGATCCTGTCAGCGCTGAAACATGCATCTTTGACGATCACATGATCACATTTCTATCAGAGAACCAAAGATGGTTAAGCCCTGAGGCCCGCATCCACAACAACTACTTTGGGTCCCGTTGGACCCGAATCCCATTGCAGGGCTCTACTAGCGTGTCCAAGGTTAGTCTCTCAGAGATAACTCCGCCTCTGATAATCTCTTCCTGTCCCTCTCAGGTCCAGTCAGCAAGCAGGATGAGGTTCTGAACAGCCAGCAGCTCAGTGACCATGACCGGAAATCCAGTTTGGACCAGTTAGACACTGGACCTCCTTCACAGAGTAAAGGTGACAAAGAAGAACCACAACCTTCACAGTTCAAAGAGGACCAGGTGGACCCAGGACCTCTACAGACGAAAGAGGACCAGGAAGACCTCCACAGCAGTCCAGACCAGGAGCAGCTGGTTCTGAAGAAGGAAGGTGATGTCTTCATGGTTACAGTGGATTGTGAGGAACGTGATCAGGCTGAAGCAGAACAGAGCAGTTTGGTTCTGTCCTCTCAAAAAGTAGAAGGCAGTTTGGATCCAGATGGTATTGGACCCTATTCCTGCAGCACTTGTGGGAAAAGCTTCTCTGACCTTTCATCTCTGAAGTTCCACCAACAAACTCACCAGGACGAGAAGCCGTACTCTTGCCAGACGTGTTTGAAAAGCTTCGGTCGGCGTGACAGCCTGTTGCGTCACATGATCACTCACACCGGAGAGCGACGGTACTCCTGTCAGATCTGTGGAGACCGCTTCGGCCTGAACAGTCACCTGTTGCGTCACATGAGAACTCACACAGGTGAGAAGCCCTTTTCATGTCAGGTGTGTCTGAAAAGCTTCAGCCAGAGCAACAGTCTGACGGATCACATGAGGATCCACACGGGGGAGAAACCCTACTCCTGTGAGGAGTGTGGGAAGCGTTTCGTCCAGCGGGGGGCTCTGAACGTCCACATGAGGACTCACACCGGAGAGAAACCGTTCTCCTGCAGCATGTGTGGGAAAGGTTTCAGCGCCAGCACCAGCCTGCTGCACCACATCAGAACTCACACCGGGGAGAAGCCGTTCTCCTGTAAACAATGTGGGAAGAGATTCAGTCAAAACAGCAACCTGATGTCCCACAAGCGAAGCTCCCACATGTGACGTTCTGACGGGTTCTGCCCTCGTTCAGGGTCCAGTGAAGGGCTTGCATTTACATAACGATAATTTTATGTGTGTCTCTGTTCACTGTAATCCAAATAAACCCAACGACGTGTTCCAACCCACAACACCATGACAGAAGTTAGAAAACTCACAACACACCGGTTTCTGTAAAAGAGGCAGTGGTCGCCTGGCAAGCCATCCTATACATGTGAATACAGGGAGTGCAGAATTATTAGGCAAATGAGTATTTTGTCCACATCATCCTCTTCATGCATGTTGTCTTACTCCAAGCTGTATAGGCTTGAAAGCCTACTACCAATTAAGCATATTAGGTGATGTGCATCTCTGTAATGAGAAGGGGTGTGGTCTAATGACAACAACACCCTATATCAGGTGTGCATAATTATTAGGCAACTTCCTTTCCTTTGGCTAAATCAGTCAAAAGAAGGACTTGACTGGCTCAGAAAGGTCAAAAATAGTGAGATATCTTGCAGAGGGATGCAGCAGTCTTAAAATTGCAAAGCTTCTGAAGCGTGATCATCGAACAATCAAGTGTTTCATTCAAAATAGTCAACAGGGTCGCAAGAAGCGTGTGGACAAACCAAGGCGCAAAATAACTGCCCATGAACTGAGAAAAGTCAAGTGTACAGCTGCCAAGATGCCACTTGCCACCAGTTTGGCCATATTTCAGAGCTGCAACATCACTGGAGTGCCCAAAAGCACAAGGTGTGCAATACTCAGAGACATGGCCAAGGTAAGAAAGGCTGAAAGACGACCACCACCGAACAAGACACACAAGCTGAAACGTCAAGACTGGGCCAAGAAATATCTCAAGACTGATTTTTCTAAGGTTTTATGGACTGATGAAATGAGAGTGAGTGTTGGTGGGCCAGATGGATGGGCCCGTGGCTGGATTGGTAAAGGGCAGAGAGCTCCAGTCCCACTCAGACGCCAGCAAGGTGGAGGTGGAGTACTGGTTTGGGCTGGTATCATCAAAGATGAGCTTGTGGGGCCTTTTCGGGTTGAGGATGGAGTCAAGCTCAACTCCCAGTCCTACTGCCAGTTTCTGGAAGACACCTTCTTCAAGCAGTGGTACAGGAAGAAGTCTGCATCCTTCAAGAAAAACATGATTTTCATGCAGGACAATGCTCCATCACACGCGTCCAAGTCCTCCACAGTGTGGCTGGCAAGAAAGGGTATAAAAGAAGAAAAACTAATGACATGGCCTCCTTGTTCACCTGATCTGAACCCCATTGAGAACCTGTGGTCCATCATCAAATGTGAGATTTACAAGGAGGGAAAACGGTACACCTCTCTGAACAGTGTCTGGGAGGCTGTGGTTGCTGCTGCACGCAATGTTGATGGTGATCAGATCAAAACACTGACAGAGTCCATGGATGGCAGGCTTTTGAGTGTCCTTGCAAAGAAAGGTGGCTATACTGGTCGCTGATATGTTTTTGTATTGTTTTTGAATGTCAGAAATGTATATTTGGGAATGTGGAGATGTTATATTGGTTTCACTGGTAAAAAATAAATAATTGAAATGGGTATATATTTGTTTTTTGTTAAGTTGCCTAATAATTATGCACAGTAATAATCACCTGCACACACAGATATCCCCCTAAAATAGCTAAAACTAAAAACTACTTCCAAAAACATTCAGCTTTGATATTAATGAGTTTTTGAGTTCAATGAGAACATGGTTGTTGTTCTATAATAAAATTATTCCTCAAAAATACAACTTGCCCAATAATTCTGCACTCCCTGTATATGGTCTGGTCACGACCCATAGCCAGATCTCTGACGGTGGTTGTTCAAACTGCCTCTGCAGGTTCTTGAACAACCAACGTGACGTACTCACAGCTACGGATGTCAGCCCACAAGACGGTCTACTCTATACTGTTGAAGAATAAGGTCTTTTCCTAAATACAGCACTAAAATATCTGTATCTCTGCTTGAGTCAAAGAAAAGCTCAAGTCTAGATAGTTGATGCCAAATCCGTTTCTAACCAGCAATCATCTTTGTTCTGCTTCGTCACATCCTCCCGCCCACTAACCAATAGAGCGCTCCACAAAACAAGCGATCGTAAACCACGGCAGCATTCTGCCAGTTACCGCAGTTGTGACAGCTCACTTTTACTTCCACACCATGAAGCAACCTTTGATTTTTTTTACTTGAATACACACTAAGTACACGGCTAGGGTGTTGAAATGCCAGAGAAGCTTTGCTTTTATTCCAATACTCGCACTTTCACCCTTCAGCCGCTTGATTGCGCGTTCCAGTCCGGAGGTGCGACTATGTAGTGTTCCAATTCTCCAGTGTGGAATTGGCCACGCCCCCTTTGCACTCCCGATCTGCACCGATACGATCTTCAGCAAAGGGTATTTCTCACAGTCCATTCCTGCGTAGAAAGAAGGCGGAGCCCTTTCTGAAAAAAATGTATCTTTAACCCTTTCAGGCTCAAAATAAGTTCTGATAAAAGAATGAACAACTAAGTCCTTCAGGGGAACTTCTGAGTTAAACATGCTCATGAAATACGTAGGTAGGTTTTAACATTGCACATCTGCAACACCTGCCTCCAGAGGGTTAATGATAATTATGTAAATAGTTTTTTATTATTGTGTGCACAAATGGTTACAATCACAGGTGTGTCTGTTGGAAATGTTATTTGATAACAGTGCAGGTGTGTATCTTTAGACATGACATGCCAGTAGTTTAATCACTTGTTTTAGCATCATTCAGTACAATTTTACAGACAGCAAAGTCAACAATAAGGTGTTGAGATTAAAAATAAGAGAATATTTCCCCTCCATTCAGGAAAAAATAACACATTTGGAATGTTTATGGAAAATCTAATCTTTGGTATTGGAACCAATTTTTTACCCAAACAGAAAGTTAAATTTTAAGAAAATGAATGGTATTTATCCATGCTCTCTGAATGTTTTACGCTAAGATTCAATGTGGACATCGGCGAAAGTAAAATCCATTCATTATCGTCCGCTTATCCATAGTAGGGTCACGAGGGCAGCAGCCTAAGCAGAGAGGCCCAGACTTCCCTCTCCCCAGCTACTTAGGCGAGCTCTTCCGGAGGAATCCCAAAGCGTTCCCTGACCAGGTGAGAGACGTAGTCTCTCCAACGTGTCCTGGGTCTCCCTTTAGGTCTCCTCCCAGTTGGACGTGCCTGGAAAACCTCACCAGGTCCAGAAGGCATCCCGACCAAATGCCCAAGCCACCTCTTCTGGCTCCTCTCCATCTGGAGGAGCAGCAGGTCTACTGCGAGCCCCTCCCGGATGACCGAGCTTCTCACCCTGTTTCTAAGGGAGAGCCCAGACACCCTGCAGAGAAAACTCATTTCAGCCGCTTGTATCCATGATCTGGATATTTCGGTCACTACCCAAAGCTCGTGACCATAGATGAGGGTAGGAACGTAGATCGACCGGTAAATCGAGATCTTCCCCCCTCTGGCTCAGCTCTCTCTTCACCACGACAGATCGGTACAACGCTCGCATCACTGCAGACGCAGCACCAATCCTCCTGTCGATCTCACTCTCCATCTTTCCCTCACTTGTGAACAAGACCCCAAGATAATTAAACTCCTCCACTTGGAGCAGGACCTCATCCCTGACCTGGAGAAGGCATTCTACCCTTTTCTGAATCAAGACCATGGTCTCAGATTTAGGGGAGCTGATTCTCATCTCAGCCGCTTCACACTCGGCTGCAAACCGCTCCAGCAGTAGGGACAGCAGCAGCTAAGGAGGTAGAGCGGGTTGTCCAATAATCGGAAGGTTGCAGGTTTGATCCCGGCTCCGACCAGAGAATTCTGCTGTTGTATCCTTGAGCAATACACTTAACCCCCCTTGCCTGCTGGAGGTGGTCGGATGGACCAGTGGCGCCTGTGCTCGGCAGCCCCAAGGCAGCTGTGGCTACATTGTAGCTCATCTCCACCAGTGAGTGAATGTGTGTGTGAATGGGTGATTGTGTTGTGAAGCGCCTTGTGGGGTTGTTGACTCCTATGAAGGCACTACAAGTACAGGCCATTTACTAACGGAAGCTGGAGATCACGTTGTGATGAATCCATTAGTACCACATCACCTTGGCTGTCCTGTCCTGTCCATGAAACAGAATCGGCAACAAAGGCAGCCTTGGCGTAGTGCATCTCTCCCCGTAAATGAGCCCAACTTACTCTGATGACTTCCACCACCACCTGACCTGCATTCTGCTTGGACTACTGAATGTAAATGTTGTCAAATAACTGTTAATAAAGATTTTTTTTAAGTAGCATAAACCGCAACTGGCATCCTAGCATGTGGTGTGACCAATGATGCAATGCTCACTGTTCCAATCACGCTATTATTTACACACTTAGAGCTAAGACTGTGCACCTCCTCCATGTGCTCCTCACAGAGGACCACAGGGTGCAGTCTGAGTATGGGGAGGGCCTGGTGGACTAAACTACAAACAAGAGTGGTTTTGTAATCTGGATTAGGAAAACTGAGAATGAGATGTTCAAAAGAACTGTAACTATCAATTGGTAAGGGATTGATTAATACGTCTGATAGAAAAATGGTTGCTACTCCTCCTCGCCCTGGGCGCGCCATTTGGAATTCTAGGATGTCCGAGTAAGATCCTGCCTTGCTCGTCTCTGATTGGCTAGAAAGGCTCTACTACGATTGGCTATTTCTGTTAACAGCAAACTGGCTGTCCTCGCTGTAGGTCAGTTGATTTAATGAGAAGTGCTGACTGTTCTGCCACCAGCAGAAAGCTGGTTTGGGGAGTTTAGTAAAGAAAATGTGAACTTAGCGCTATAATAAACATTCTGTCCTGGTTTGCAAAATATCTTATGTTTCATAAAAAAAACTGAAAAACGTAAAATGTGAATTTTAAATCTTGTTGCATTTATCAAACTGTTGGACTTACTTTATCTCTTGGCTCTGAAGCATTAGAGTACACAGGATAAACATATGTGCCTTACCTGGGTATGAAATTTAATAAAACTGCCCTGTTCTGCCAAGCTGTGTGCATCAGGTCTGTTTCTTCTCTAGAATAATGAAAACTGGTGAAAATGGGTCTAAATCATAATCAGCTTTAACTTAGTTTTTGATTAAATGATACACATTTAATCTGATGAGAGATGTGCTCCAACTTGTAAACAGCCTTAACCTATTAAAGCAGGATAGCCTAATAATGAAGTAATATAATCCCAATAGACCCAACAGATACAAAGTCAGTCTATAGTGTGATACAATGCTACAAGAATTATTACAGGTTCACATTTGATGTTTTTCAGGCTCTTTTATAAAAGAAACTGAACCTGGTTTGTTGCTAAACAGGAAAGGATGTTTATTATAGCGATGAGTTCATTTTCTTCAAAAAAATTCTCAAGATCTGGCTGTAAACATAAAAACCTGCAGCGAGGGAAAACTTTTTCCTCTTACACTAAATAGCCAATCGTAGTAGAGCCCTTCCAGCCAATCAGAGGCGAGAAAGGCGGGACCTTCCTTGGACATCCTAGAATTCCAAATGACGCGCCCTGGACTTGGAGCCAGTGGTGCCCATGCTCAGCAGCCTCGCCTATGTTAGCATGTCCCAGGACAGTTGTGGCTACATCGTAGCTTATCACCACCAGGGTGTGAACGGCTGTCCCAAGGCACTACAGACCATTTACCATTGGTCAGGCTGACTCAGCTGCAGAGCCCTGCTGGGACTCCTCTGTCTCTGATGTCCACTGTTGGGACACCTGTCTGTGTTGTCCCCTGTTGGGACACCTCTGTCTCTGTTGTCCCCCGTTGGGACACCTTTCTGTGTTGTCCCCTGCTGGGACTCCTCTGTCTCTGATGTCCCCTGTTGGGACACTTCTGTCTCTGTTGTCCCCTGTTGGGACACCTGTCTGTGTTGTCCCCTGCTGGGACTCCTCTGTCTCCGTTGTCCCCCGTTGGGACACCTTTCTGTGTTGTCCCCTGCTGGGACTCCTCTGTCTCTGATGTCCCCTTTTGGGACACTTCTGTCTCTGTTGTCCCCTGTTGGGACACCTGTCTGTGTTGTCCCCTGCTGGGACTCCTCTGTCTCCGTTGTCCCCCGTTGGGACACCTTTCTGTGTTGTCCCC